AACTGATTTTATTTTTTGGGAAGGGGAAGGGGGTGAAGGGGGTATGTAACTGGAGAGGACAGTCAAAATGAACTGGGTAAAGAAACGGGGGCAGGTTCAGCTTTTCTGTCCACAAACTGAAAAGTCACTGGTTGCCCTGCTCACTCAGGAACCTAGCTTTCAAAGCCTCCCGGATGCACAGGGCGTCCCGCTGGGATCTTCTAATGGCCCGGCTGTCTGGCTGGACGTAATCAGCAGCCAGGCTACTTGCCTCAACCTCCCACCCCGCCATAAAGGTCTCCCCCTTGCTCTCACACAGATTGTGGAGCACACAGCAAGCTGCAATAACGATGGGGATATTGGTTTCACTGAGATCACAGCGAGTGAGTAAGCTTCTCCATCTCCCTTTGAGACGGCCAAAAGCACACTCCACCACCATTCTGCACTTGCTCAGCCGGTAGTTGAACAGTTCTTTTTCTGTGTCCAGGGCGCCAGTATAGGGCTTCATGAGCCAGGGCATTAGCGGGTAGGCTGGGTCCCCGAGGATGACTGTAGGCATCTCCACATCCCCAAGAGTTATTTTGTGGTCTGGGAAGTAAATACCTTCCTGCAGCCGTCTAAACAGACCAGAGTTCCTGAACACGCGAGCGTCATGAACCTTGCCCGGCCATCCGACGTAGATGTTTGTAAACCGTCCCCGATGGTCCACCAGTGCTTGCAGCACCATTGAAAAGTAGCCCTTTCTATTGATGTACTGGCTGGCCTGGTGGTCCGGTCCCAGGATAGGGATGTGAGTCCCATCGATAGCCCCACCGCAGTTTGGGAATCCCATCGCGGCAAAGCCATCTATGATGACCTGCGCGTTTCCCAGGGTCACTACCTTTGGGAGCAGTACCTTCACGATTGCCTTGGCTACTTGCATGACAACAACCCCCACGGTAGATTTGCCCACACCAAAGTGGTTCGCGACTGACCGGTAGCTGTCCGGCGTTGCAAGCTTCCAGAGGGCTATGGCCACTCGCTTCTGGACAGTGAGGGCTGCTCGCATGCGGGTGTCCTTGCGCTTCAGGGCAGGGGACAGCAACTCACAAAGTTCGAGGAAAGTCCCCTTCCGCATGCGAAAGTTTCGCAGCCACTGGGATTCATCCCAGACCTGAAGCACCATTCCGTGCTTGTTTCCCGGGCCCAGAATCGCCGTTCAACAAAATCCACATGCCCCATTGCCAACGTGATGTCCTGGGCGCTGGGGCTCGTGGTTTCTGACAGCTCTGTGCCACTCTCCGACTTCAGGCTCTCACGGCGGTGCCGTAGCCTCCTCGCCCGATTTCTCTGCATCTGCCTCAGGGAAAGGTGTATGATAAGCTGCGAGGTGTTGAGAATGGCCACAAGTGCAGCGATGGTCGCAGCGTGATCCATGATCGCAGTGCTGTGGCGTCCGCGCTGTCACTGACCAGAAAAGTGCGCGAACTGATTTCCCGCCGGCGCTTTCATGGAGGGAGGGAGGGCGTTAGTGACGGACGGATGACGACAAATTTTTTTTACCCAGAAGGCATTGGCGGCTCGACCCAGAATTCCGATGGGCAGCGGGGACTGCGGGAACTGTGGGATAGCTGCCCACAGTGCACTGCTTCCAATATCGACGCTCGCCCCGTTAGTGTGGACTCACAAAGTCGAATTACTGTCCTTAGTGTGTCCTTAGTGTGGACACACACGTTCGACTTTGCAATATCGATTCCACATATTCGATTTAAGTAAAATCGAATTACCCTCGTAGTGTAGACATACCCTTAGTTGCCTAACACCAGGAGAATGTTCATATCTGTGAATCGTTTGTGGTGGGAGTCTAATCCCTCCAGCACAAATTTAGGCATCTAACTTCCTTTTAGATACGCAGATTAGGTCACACCTCTCTCATCATCATTTCCTACTATTTAGGCATCTGCTCACTCAGCATGCTGGCTTCGGTGGATACCATTTTTAGCATCTAATGCATTGTATAGGGAGCCTGAGCTCCTAACGCATGGCTGTGGATTTCACCAGGCAGAAGGACATGTAAATATTAGGTATTACAGTGCTGAACTTAAGCTGGATCTAGTCACTTTTGAAAAATTTTCCTAGGAAGCTGAAATAAAATAAAAATTGCAAACATGTTTGAGTTTTTTTTATATTCTTCAACTGGCTTCTAGCACATTGCTCCTTCTTAGAACCTATAATATTTTTTGTAGAACCGTAGTTTCCTGGAGGGCTCATGGAGTTTGTAGTGGCATATTACCATACGAAGCTCTGCTAGAGATTGAATGAACCCATTAGAAAAGGTCACTATTGAAAATGGGAATTAGATTTCTCAATCACCTAGGCACTTATGAAAATCGTACCTTAATATTATTATTATTTTATTACTGTAGTGCCTAGGAGCTTTAGTTATGGACCAGGATGCCATTGCATTAGGTGCTGTACATTATTTATTAAGTGTATTATTGTATGGCCTAGGAAACCCAGTCATTGTCCAGTACCCAACCGTGCTAGATGCTATACGTTATTTATTAGGTGTATTACAATAGGGACTAGAAGCCCCGGTCATGGACCAGGACCTTTCATGCTAGGTGCTGTAAAATACACAACAAAAAGATGGTCCCTTTCCCAGAGAGCTATCACCTGCAGAAGTCTGAATTCAAAGGAAGTTACATTTTCATAAGGGCTGCCAGATCATTCCCTAAGTATTACAAAAAAGAATTTTTTGAGGGAAACAAAACAAAAGAAACAAACAAAAACTGATTTTGGTATCATTATTTTGTTTAAAAAACATAATTGGAAATTTAAAAAAAATCCGCAATTCCCTTCCTCCCTCCAAAAAAAAACATTCCCATGTAAAATAATTGGCATGTTTGTTTTGAACCAGCTTTAGCTATAATTATAAGATTCCAAAGGGCCCTTGTATGTAACCCTTTTTTTGTGTGTGTGTGGCATATATACAATTTTCAATGCTGAGTTCTGCTTTCATTTTTGCCAGTTCAGTGGAATTATTCCAGTTCTACACAACTTTTCAAAAATGAAAGTCAGTGGTTTGTTAAGTTTATTAGATAATTCCCTTAACATCATAACAGAACATATAACTTGTACAAGCCATTCAAATTATCTATTTATTCCCTTAGCTGCTTTTTCATCAGAAGTTGTTTTTACAAGGTCTTCATTACTTCCTAACTGGCCAAACTCGATGTCTTTGGCCCAGATCACTCTGTTATATGGGGAAAACCATATAAGGGGAAAACCATATAAGGGCAACAGAGAGGCAGGGATACAGATCTGGATCTCTGATATATTTATAAAAATCCTTTGGCCCAGATCCACAAAGGGAATCCTGAGATAGCTGCTTAGGGTCCCTCTAGAATAAATGGGGAGAGATGGGTGCCTCAAAAGAGGATCCACAAAAGCCAGCACCCTAGGCAGCTCCCAGTATAAGCTTGCCAGTGGGAGATGCTAACAAGAGGAGTGTGTCCTAAGCTTCCCTCTCAAAGACTTTGGCATATAAGTCTGCTATCACCACTTGGTATCCACAGCTAGGAACCCCTCTCCTGGAGTCAGTGGCCTAAACTGTTTCTTGAAATAACAGCAGTGGTGCATACCTAACTCCACTGAAAATGTTTGGGAGAAGGAGGCAACCTTTCTTATAAGTACCATAACCATTGTACTATGGAATATCTTGATATAGGTCTGCCTCAATCTTCCCTATTGAAGCTCTTCCACTTTGGATAAATAATTAAACAGGCATGGGTCCAAAGAGAGAGACTGTACACTCCAGAGAAAAGGGCACTCCCCTGAGAAGTAGGAAATCCCTGTTCAAATCCCTTATCCTTTTCAGGCAGAGGGGAATTGAACTTGGGTCTTTCATATTCTGGATGAGTACCCTCATCACTGGGGAAGATGTTCCAAAGGACGTGCCTTTCTGCCCCACCTCTGCCTATTTTATGTGGCATTAGATGTCCTCTGAGTACACCTGCCAGATTGATCCCCAAACACATGATAAGCAGGACAACACCTATCTTCACCCGGTTTGATTATGCTGGATTACCCTGGAGCATAGGCTTGAGATAGGCATCTGGATGCTTGCCTGGGGCAGCAGTGTGCATGCCCACAGACATATACTTAGGCAGTGAGGGGACTTTCAGAGCAGAATTTTTGGCACTTGTGAATTTATGTGCAGAGTTAGGCAGCAGTTGAGTGGGGATTTTGTGGGTCACTTTGGTGCCTAAATCTAAGACTTAGGCACCCAAGCGCCTTTGTGGATCTGAACTGTTATTCCTTTAGGGTTGGTTTTTAAAAATGCCTATGTGATTTAGGAGTGCAAGTCCCACTAATAGCTGAAGGCAGTAGTGTGTTTAATTCCCCTACTCAGCTTCAAAAATCTCAGTCACAATTCTTGTTCCTCTACTAAAAGTTTGGTTCAGGAGTCTCCTGGGTTAGGCAGAGACAAGACAGCAGCTCCTCTCCCATCCCCAGATTAAATCACACTCATTCCCACCTCCTTTGTTCAAGGGTCTAACGATCTTGCCCCCTCCCCCAACCTTTTGGGGCCATGCAAGAGGCTAGGGAAAATTTTCAAATACTGATCATGCAACTGATTCAGTATGGATATCTGTGCCCTATTCAGAGCAATGGGTCCCCCACTGACACAGAGGTCCATCCTTACAGTCACTTGTGTGTCTGAGTCCTTAGTCCTCTCTGCAACCTGGGTTATAGCTAGGCTCTTCCATGCCTTTAATTTATTTAAACGTGCACTTTTTTCTATTGCTTTAGAATCACATATACAGTATTACATATCCTTTTGTCTATGCTAAGTGAACTGACCATGAAATAACTCAACATGTTAAAATGCTGTAGGAACCTCTGTATCTTTTGGCTTTGGTCCCATTCTATTCCTATCATTAATACTGCAGTAATATATCTTCATTCAACTGTGAACATGAAGAGTTACTAAATTAAAGATATGTATTTTAACCATAATTTTATCCCATGTTTTTCAGCTCAGACGGCATAATACAGAAGCATGGGCTCAAAAGGTAAATTCTCTCAAATAATTCAATCTGTGTTACATGAGTTTGTCTGCATTTGATTGTCATAAACAGATGCATTTGGTCTGGAAAAATTCAAAACTGCCACTATTTTTGCCCATCAAATCATAAGTGCAATTCTAGAGTACAGCAGGGCACCAATGCTCTAGTTAAGACTTGTTTTCTTATTCATAATACTCCAATTAGCATGGCCACTGGAGTCATTACATGCACAAAAATGAAACACTAATCTATCCCAGCCTCTTGTTAATCTAGCCTTGTCATATTTCTGTTGTGAATCTAGCCCTTATTTTTATAAAGTAAGTTTCTCTCTGAAAATAACTGTCAATCTTAAACGTATCAGAGAAAAAAATGTTACATTTTAAAAAAAAGTAATGCTTTTTAAATATGAAAGTATTATTTTCTCCCAATTTTAAGTATACCTCCTCCCCCCCCCCACACACATACATTTCTGGGGGAGGGGGGGATGATAGAATCATAGAAGGTTAGGTTTGAAAGAGACCTCAGGAGGTCATCTTGTCCAATCCCCTGCTCAAAGCAGGATCAACACCAACTAAATCATCCCACCCAAGGCTTTGTCAATCCGGGCCTTAAAAACCTCTAAGGATGGAGATTCCACCACCTCCCTAGGTAACCTATTCCAGTGCTTCACCACCTTCCTAGTGAAATAGTTTTTCTTAATATCGAACCTAGACCTCCCCCACTGCAAATTGAGACCACTGCATCTTGTTCTGTCATCTGCCACCACTGAGAACAGTCTAACTCCATCCTCTTTGGAAACAAAATAAATTGAGAGATTGTGGTCATTTTCCTACAATTTAAAAATGAATGTTTCCAAAATACAAAAACGTTGATTTTCCACCTGAAAATAATAATAATAAAAAAACCTAAGAAAGTTAATAGGAAGTTATTTTTTTAATCAACATCGGGGGTTTTTCCCAAAACTTTTTTAATGTAAATCTTTTTGTTGAAAAAATTCAACCAGCTTTGTTTCATATGAAATAATGTATTTATTATTTCTGCATTGATTTACATGCATGGAATTCCATTGGCTTCAATGGGTTAAACAGTGTATTAGTCTTCACAGGATTTGGCCCTGTATATATACATCTGTGTTTAAAGTGTGAAATGCACCCCTGTGCAGAGGGACAATTGAAGGCCTATGCAATACTTGTTTTACTGCCCCCGCACTTCCAGTTGGACATTTAAGGTAGCAGTGCCCTGGTTGGCTACACATGCACTGCAGCCAGCTCCTGCTGCTCTGAGTAGGTATCGCATGCGCGTAGCCAACCATCCCCCAGTTCCTTCTTTGCAACTGTTGGCTTCGGTCAGAACAACAGCAGTGCCTCAGAATACTGTTCCTCAGAATACTTTTTCCATTCCTTTTTGCCCAGAATTACCCCTTCCTGTTACCTGTGGGATTCCTGTCTCTTCCCTTTCCAATTAAAACAAGAACAACTACAACAAACAATCAGAGACTCTCTTCGAACGGCTATGCCTAGCTCCACAGTCTTTAAACATTGCCTCACCTGTAGACTAGCAATACCATACTCTGACGGTCACTCCCAGTGTGTTTGCTGCCTGCCGGAGACTCATGTTATGCAGATGTTCCACCACTGCAAAACGCTAATGGCAAGGACCAGAAAACTCATTTAAAACTCACGGCGATCAGGGGAGGTCCCAAGTGACTGGAAAAAGGCTAATGTAGTAAAAATCTTTTAAAAATGGAAGGAGGAGGATCTGGGGAACTACAGTCCAGTCAGCCTCACCTCAGTCCCTGGAAAAATCATGGAGCAGGTCCTCAAGGAATAAATTCTGAAGCACTTAGAGGAGAGGAAAGTGATCAGGAACAGTCAGCATGGATTCACCAAGGGCAAGTCATGCCTGACTAACCTAATTGCCTTCTATGATGAGATAACTGGCTCTGTCGATGAGTGGCAAGCAGTGGACATGTTATTCCTTGACTTTAGCAAAGCTTTTGATACGGTCTCCCACAGTGTCCTTGCCAGCAAGTTAAAGAAGTATGGGCTGGATGAATGGACTATAAGGTGGATAGAAAGCTGGCTAGATCGTCGGGCTCAATGGGTAGTGATCAATGGCTACATGTCTAGTTGGAAGCTGGTATCAAGCGGAGTGCCCCAAGGGTCAGTCCTGGGGCCGGTTTTGTTCAATATCTTCATTAATGATTTGGAGGATGGCATGGATTGCACCCTTAGCAAGTTTGCAGAGGACACTAAACTGGGAGGAGTGGTAGATATGCTGGAGGGTAGGGATAGGATACAGAGGGACCTAGACAAATTAGAGGAGTGGGCCAAAAGAAATCTGAGGTTCAAGAAGGACAAGTGCAGAGTCCTGCAGTTAGGATGGAAGAATCCCATGCACTGCTACAGACTAGGAACTGAATGTCTAGGCAGCAGTTCTGCAGAAAAGGACCCAGGAGTTATGATGGAAGAGAAGCTGGATATGAGTTGACAGTGTGCTCTTCTTGCCAAGAAGGCTAACAGCATTTTGGGCTGTATAAGTAGGGGTATTGCCAGTAGATCGAGGGACGTGATCATTTCCCTCTATTCAACATTGGTGAGACCTCATCTGGAGTACTGTGTCCAGTTTTGGGCCCCACACTACAAGAAGAATGTGGAAAATTGGAAAGACTCCAGCGGAGGATGACAAAAATGTTTAGGGGTCTGGAGCCCATGACTTATGAGGAGAGGCTGAGCAAACTGGGGGAAAATTCCTTCCCAAAAACAAATAAGTTGGACACAGAAAATGTCAGCAAGACCCAACAGCCAGACACCAGAGAAAAAATTTGCTGTAGTAACTCAGAAACTTCTCCATCTAGTCTCCCATCTCCAGTTGTTGGGGATATTTACTACTAACAGTCACATATGGATCATGTGCCATTGTAGACAATCTCATCATACGATCTCCTCCATACATTTATCGAGCTCAGTCTTCAAGCCAGTTAGGTTTTTTTTCCCTGCTCCCCTTGGAAGGCTGTTCCTGTGATAGTTTGAAACCTTTGTCTAATTTCAAGCCTAAACTACTTGGTGGCCAATTTGTATCTATTTATTCTTGTGTCAAAATTGGTGTTTAACTTAAATAATTCTTCTCCCTCCCTGGTGTTTATCCCATCTACTTTCTGAGACAGATCATCTATACCCCAGGACCCATCTGCTATTATATCAGCAGATCATGTGTCTGCATCCTCCCCTGACCCACACCTCTCACTGAGGATGTTACCTTGCATCAGGGTGTTGATATTATCCTGACACAGACATCCCCTTCATAATTAGACAACACTGCTGTATTGCCTCAGACTTAGCCTCCTGATGATTATAAATTGTACCGGGTATTGGTATGGTGTACGGTGAAGACTCTCAAATCCCAATTCAAGCTATCCAAGATCCTTTCTCTCTCACATTGTAAGACAACATATTTAAATTATGATCAACAATACTGTGTCAGTGTTTCATGTGAACAAGCAGGTACACTTTCTTATATAGGGAAGCACTCTTTCTGTGGAACCAGTGTTGGTACTGCATAACAATATCTGCTGTTCATCTGCCAGGTCTTCACAATTTGCTAGCAGACTAAGTAGACATTTCTCGAGATGAGCACAAATGGAGTTCAAAGGACTTGGTCATCAAATCTGTATTTGATCAATGGTGTGTACCTCATGGTATATCACCAAGCACAACAAAAAATATATGGCATTCTGCTCAAAAGGTGGATAGAGTCTGGACTGTCAATACCATACATTTGATTCCATTTACTTAGTCTGTTTTATTCTTACTCTGATTCCCTTAATTTGATGAGTTTCGAGGAAAGTCAAACAAGACAGAGCCTTGTTTTTTTTTTCTTCTGTGTCCAATTTGGCCCAGAGAGAACAGGTTTCAGGAGCTCAGTACAGTTTTGGTGCTTACTCTGATGCCTCTTCCACTGTATGCAGACTTGTTCAGCCCAAACAATGGAACCACTCTTCATCCATCCCTATAGCCCATCATTTCATGGTATGGAAACTATCTGGCTGACAGAGATAGAGAAAACTGGAGTTCTTTGAGATGTGTTATCTATATGTGTTCAATGACCCACTGTCCTTTCACTGATACCTATGAGTCTAATACTTGGAGCTGGACATTTGCAAAGGAATTGAAGGTCAATTGGTCACTCTGCCCCCTTTTTTACTGGTGAGGTGAGAATGGTTCGAGGCTATGAAAGGAGCAGATGCGATGAACAGAGACTAGTAAGTGAAGCATTGCAATCTCCGTAGCATAGAAGCCATGCACACCAGTGAAACTCATATAGGCAACACATCTTGAACTTCAGTTACTGAACAGGGAAGTAAATTCTCTTTCCCTTTTCAGAACAAGAGTAGATGTTGGGCACTGAATATTTTTATGTTCTGGCCAGTTCCTTAGAGGAACCTATAAAAGAGTTCTATATCTACACCTATTGTAATGTTCTCTCCCTATTTCTGTCCCTCAATACCTAGGAAGCATATAAAATCTTATTTTTAAAGGAGAAGAAGCAGCGAGCCTTATTTTCTTTGTTTAAAATGAAAATAATTTTCTAAAGGAAGATTAAATATAATTGAAAACTTCAAACATTTTTAGGTTCTAGCATCCTTAGCTTGGTAAAATCACCCGCCCAGATAAGTACAATCACCATCATCGGAACTGGCACTGTCTACCTTCTGTATCATATTTGGAAACCAAAAGGTAAGAATTTCAAAGTTCATCAGTATTTCATTAGTGATCCATTCAGTGATTTAATGTGGATTTTGAATAAATAATTAATTGGGAGCCTTGTCTCTGTCCCACTGTAGGGCGGAAAATGGAGAAAAGGCATAGAAATAGGACAAAAGGACATTAGTGAAGAAAAGGGGGGGGAATATATAATGCAGCATCTACCCACTACAGAAAAAACAAACCCTCAGCTCTGCAATCTGGGGTCCATGGCCATCTAATGCAGGGGACATAGGCTTCTTTACAAGAACAATGGCTGAGACATATTAAGTAGCTTGCTGTGTAGACAGTTAGCACCTTACTCTTCCCTCCAACCTTTCCAAAGACCAGCAGAGGGGGTTATCATGTACAATAGGTGAGAGCAGGTGATATCAGTTGGTCATATCAGCCGGCCATGCTGCTAGTGATGGAAGTGGCAAAACAGGCTGGGAGGGTGACTGTGGGATGTCAGTATTGTGGAGCTGATTCTCCACTGCCTGGCATCTTGTGTTATCATTTACACTTTTGCAAAGTGCATATGCATACCTGTTAAGGGGGCTTTCCCTTCACCCCACCCTGATTCTTGTCATGCAGACAGAAAGCAGAAGACCAGAAGTCTGAAGTGCAGGCAATGCAATGTTTTTTGGGGGTTAGTTTTAAGCAAGCATATCCATAGCTCTGACATCACAGAGCCCTTTCCCCAGTGTTCCCCTTCCCCCTTCCTTAGCAGGCATAATTATACCTATAGTGCACACCCTTGGTCCCACCCCTTACAATGTATGGTCATGTTCTGTTTGGGGGCCTCGTTCCACCTCTTTTATACCCCATGGGAGGGGTAAGGAGTAAGGTTGTGCTTTGGTCAGGGACGTGCATTTCTTTGGCCTTTTAGTGTTTCTTATACCTCCCCCCGCCCCCATTCCCCTTTGCCCCATCTGACTGGTTGCTTGACCTTGCCTTGAGATAGGAGTTGAGGAAGTCTTCAAGTGTATGGTTGTATATTATACTGCCACCATACCCAGTAACACTTTAGCTCTGTCTCTTATCTTTCTCATTATACTAACAAACCAATATGGCTTGGCAGAAGCAACATACAGTGTCTTTGTTCTTTGTTCAGTAAGGATATCTGAGTACACAGGACCTCACCAGAATGCGGGATTTGGGATCCATGCATCGTACCACGTTAACGGGGAATTGCAAAGAAAGTAATTAAATTTGGGATCCATGGCCGCAACCGCATTATATGCGAATTCGTGCTATATAGACACATGTTCTAGCGAGGGTCCAGTGTATCAAAAATCCAACAAAGAAGACCCAAAATTCTATCTCAGGCAAATATACAGGCCTGAATTCTACATTACATCTGTCATAACTATAAAGGGAAGGGTAACTGCTCTCCTGTGTACAATACTATAAAATCCCTCCTGGCCAGAGATTCCAAAATACTTTTACCTGTAAAGGGTTAAGAAGCTCAGGTAACCTGGCTGACACCTGACCCAAAGGACCAATAAGGGAACAAGATACTTTCAAATCTTGCGGGGGAGGGGGGAAGGCTTTTGTTTGTGCTCTTTTTTGGGGGGGTTGTTCGCTCTTGGGACTAAGAGGGACCAGACATCAATCCAGGTTCTCCAAATCTTTCTGAACAAGACTCTCATATTTCAAACTTGTAAGTAAACAGCCAGGCAAGGCGTGTTAGTTTATCTTTGTTTTCTCAACTTGTAAATGTACCTTTTACTAGGGTGTTTATCTCTGTTTGCTGTAACTTTGAACCTAAGGCTAGAGCGGGGTCCTGTAAAGTTATTTTCCATCCTGATTTTACAGAGATGATTTTTACCTTTTTCTTTAATTAAAAGTCTTCTTTTTAAGAACCTGATTGATTTTCTCCTTGTTTTAAGATCCAAGGGGTTTGGATCTGTATTCACCAGGGAATTGGTGAAGAGTCTCTCAAGGCTACCCAGGGAAGGGAATTAGCTTTGGGAGTGGTGGCAGCGGACCAGATCTAAGCTGGTAGTTAAACTTAGAAGTTTTCATGCAGGCCCCCACATTTGTACCCTAAAGTTCAGAGTGGGGAAGCAGACTTGACATGGTGGCAGAGCGGTGGGATCATTTTAAACCAAAAGCCAGTAATATTTTTTTTTCTCCTTTCTAGCTGCTTGGAAAGCAGAGCTGAAGGTAGATGCATATCTTATCTCTCCTTGCCTGAAGGCAGAGGTGTTACGTTTTTTTTAACAAGGGTCTTTGTTAAGAGAAGGGTTCAATCAGTGAGCAAACAGCTGGTAAAAGGAATTTACAAGCTGAATTGTTTTTTTTCTTTCTACGGCCTTGGCTACACTGGCAATTCACAGCGCTGCACTTGCTGCGCTCAGGGGTGTGAAAAAACACCCACCCTGAGTGCAGCGAGTGCAGCGCTGTAAAGCGCCAGTGTAATCAGCGCCTGCAGCGCTGCATGCTCCCTCGCAGCGCTGCAAGCTATTCCCCTCGGAGAGGTGGAGTACTTGCAGCGCTGCGAGAGAGCTCTCGCAGCGCTGGCGGCGCGACTACACTCGCGCTTCACAGCGCTGCCGCGGCAGCGCTGTGAATCCGCGAGTGTAGCCAAGGCCTACCTCTTGGGGATAGCTAGTTAGAAAGTCTCTGTTACCTCAGCAGCAGCCTGAGCTGAGTGCATCCCAGTTTCAGTCAACTGCAGAGGGGTGTGGCCCAGCACAAGAAAACAGGAAAATGACTACCAAAGAAGTAGCTAACAAACTAGAACTGGCCAGCCTAGAAGCAGAAGAAAATGGAAAAAAAACATCAGAGACTGCTTCAATTAAAAAAACTCGAGCAAGAAGCTCAAAAGAAAGCCAAAGAGGAGGCCCATGAAAGAGAAGAAAAAGCCAAAGAGGAGGCCCACAAGAGAGAGATGGAGCTGAAAGAAAAAGAGATGGAGGAGAGGGAAAAAGAGAGGAAGCATGAACTGGAATTAGCAAGGGCTAGGCCAGATATACCAGCCAATCCTAGCAACCCCTCTCCAGGTACCCCTTCCCATCCCAGAAATTTCCCCACCTACAAGGCAGGTGATGATACTGAGGCCTTCTTAGAAAATTTTGAAAGGGCCTGCCTTGGATACAGCATCACTCCAGACCAGTACATGGTAGAGCTGAGGCCGCAGCTCAGTGGACCCTTAGCAGAGGTGGCGGCTGAAATGCCTAAGGAACACATGAACAGTTATGAACTTTTTAAAAACAAGGCCAGAATCAGAATGGGGCTAACACCCGAGCATGCCTGTCGGCGGTTCAGAGCCCTAAGGTGGAAACCAGACGTGTCATTTACCCGACATGCCTACCACATTGACAAAATTTGTGATGCCTGGGTATCAGGAGAAAATGTTAATTCTCTGGAAAATCTGGTTTCCCTAGTAAAAATGGAGCAGTTTTTAGAGGGTGTTCCTGAGGAAATAGAAAGGTACATCCTAGATGGGAAGCCCAAAACTGTAACTGAGGCGGGGGAGATTGGAGCCAAATGGGTGGAGGTGTCAGAAAAGAAAAAAAACTAGTAGCAGTTGGAGAGAATATCAGAAGGGGCAAGCCGAAACAAAACCTTACCACCGGGGACAACCCAAGGCCCCACCCACATCCCAAGGGAAACCCCAGATGCCTTCTCACCCCACCACACCAGTCTCCATCAACCAACATCGCCCCGGTGATACCTTAGCAGGGTGATGTTTTAAATGTAATGAACTGGGACATATAAAGGCTCACTGCCCAAAGAACCCCAACCAATTACAGTTCATTACACCACAATCACACCAAAGATCCCCAGACCCAGATGCCTCTCAAATACCCTCGGAGTGAAGGGAAACCTTGAGAGTGGGCGGAAAGAAGGTTATCGCTTGGAGGGACACTGGGGCACAAGTGTCAACTATCCACCAATCCCTAGTGGACCCCAAACTCATCAACCCGGAGGTTCCAGTGACAATTCAACCCTTCATGTCACAGTCTGTAACCTTGCCTACAGCCAAGTTGCATGTTCAGTACAAGGGCTGGTCAGGAATGTGGAATTTGCAATCTATGACAATTATCCCATCCCCATGCTACTGGGGGAAGACTTGGCCAACCATGTGAAGCTAGCAAAGAGGGTGGGAATAGTCACCCGCAGCCAGGCTAATCAAGCTTTCACCCCGATCCCTGTTCCTGAGCCATCCACCAGGGCCCTGTCTGTGTTACCAGAGACCCAAACAAAGGTGGTGGAACCGGATCCCCTGCCAATGACTGCAACAGCCATAGTGGATCCAATCCCAGAGACCCAGGCAAAGCCAGTCCCAGAACCGGAACTGGCAATGCAACCAGCAACAGAACCATTGCCAGCACTGAGTCCAGCGCTTGCAAACCTGTCTACCACTCCAACGCCAGAGGGCACCAGCTAGCCTGAACTGGCAGAAGCAGCAGATAACCCTACCCAAGAGGCTCAGCCAGAGTCTGAAATACCACATAGTGCACCAGCGGACAGAGGTTCACAGTCAATGGAAACAGCCCCAGCACCTGCATCGCTTCCAGAGGGACCAAGCCCCAGTCCACAGCCCAAGGAGGAACTGATGTCTCCAGCATCAAGGGAACAGTTCCAGGCTGAGCAGGAAGCAGATGACAGCCTTCAGAAAGCTTGGGCGGCGGCACGGAGCACCCCACCGCCTCTCAGCTGTTCTAACCGATCCCAGTTTGTTGTAGAACAAGGACTTTTATACAAGGAGACTCTTTCTGGTGGGCACCAGGAAGACTGGCATCCTCAAAGACAGTTGGTAGTTCCCACTAAGTATCGGGTAAAGCTCTTGAGCTTAGCCCATGATCATCCCAGTGGCCATTCTGGGGTGAACAGAACCAAAGACCGGTTGGGGAAGTCCTTCCACTGGGAGGGAATGGGCAAGGACGTTGCTAATTATGTCCGGTCTTGTGAGGTGTGCCAACGAGTGGGAAAGCCCCAAGACCAGGTTAAAGCCCCTCTCCAGCCACTACCCATAATTGAGG